CCTAAAAATATAAATATATATTAAAAAAAAATTTAAACATGCAATTACATTACCATTAAAAATTAATTATGTTTGTACGTACCTAAACAACCAACCTTAAAAATATATTGGAGAATTTATTATTTTGTTTATCTTTTTTTCCCCTTATTTAAAGTTAACTTCAATTTGCATTTTAATTGGAATTTTGTTATAAATAATATTAATTTTGAATTATTCAATCCTGATGTGATGATACTGAAATAAGAAACAAAACGCGATAATTTGAGCAAGTTGTACGACTGGTGGCATATTTTTGTAAAAATGAAAAATGAGTCATCTAGGAGATTTATTGGAGACCAAATTTTATGTTTTCTGTACTATGTTATTTCTTTATCCNCAATCCTGATGTGATGATACTGAAATAAGAAACAAAACGCGATAATTTGAGCAAGTTGTACGACTGGTGGCATATTTTTGTAAAAATGAAAAATGAGACATCTAGGAGATTTATTGGAGACCAAATTTTATGTTTTCTGTACTTTGTTATTTCTTTATCCCCATTCCTAAAAATCAGTTTATGTAATTCTTTAATATTTTGAAAGCTCCCATACTGTGATTGTATCTATGGACCGGCTCTACTACACTCCGATATGCAGCGTTTGCAGCGAATTCAAAATAGTTGTTTTAGATTAGGGGGACATGGGATTAGAAAATTTGAACGAGGAATTACGGAGTTAATTAAGATATATAATTTTCTTAATCTTTCGTACTCTTGTAAGTTGCACTCTTTACGTTTACATCATAAAAAAGCCCTGTATACNGAATTCAAAATAGTTGTTTTAGATTAGGGGGACATGGGATTAGAAAATTTGAACGAGGAATTACGGAGTTAATTAAGATATATAATTTTCTTAATCTTTCGTACTCTTGTAAGTTGCACTCTTTACGTTTACATCATAAAAAAGCCCTGTATACTTAGATAAAAAGATTTACGAGGCTTCATAAAGCCACTTCGACGTTTAATCCTCGTTATTCACGTTTATTAGAAATTCCTCGCCACGCCACTGCCCTGTATATTAGAAGTCCTATCTATCGCGCCTGTGAAGGATATAATGCTTTGCCCGTTTGTTTCAATACATACATTTTCTTGAACTTTAAAAAAAAGNACTTCGACGTTTAATCCTCGTTATTCACGTTTATTAGAAATTCCTCGCCACGCCACTGCCCTGTATATTAGAAGTCCTATCTATCGCGCCTGTGAAGGATATAATGCTTTGCCCGTTTGTTTCAATACATACATTTTCTTGAACTTTAAAAAAAAGTTAAAGTATTTTCTTTTGGATGATTTTACTACTAGCTAATAATTTGCTGTCACTAAACTGTTTTTTAAGAAGTCGTTAGCTGTTTGGATTTTTTTTTTCCCTTAGATAGTCACTACGAGTGTTTCATTTTGATTCATATATATGTGTATCTATATTTTTTGATTTATGTTTATATTCTGTAGGGACTATGTTTAGAGATTCTATTATACTTAGGATATTTTGTGTTCTTCATTTATTTATTTTTTTTCCTGTTTATTCATACTGTTTCTAGGGGTTAAGTTGAAAAGCAGTTTTAAACTGACACTTCGCCCCTTTACAAGCTTATTATTTTCTATTTGCTTACATGTCCATGTACTTGAGCTAAATAATTGTAATAAAAGACATTTATTATTATTATTATTATTTATTATTATCATATTGAGGATGTTGTCGTTTTTTTTCATCTCAAAATAACCTATAAAACATGACAAGAGTTCAATCGGCTGCGATTTCTTTTTCATTGTGAAAAATCAATTAAAGGATAAATATTGTATTTTTAAATCATTTTCTTTAATTGCAATTGTTTCTTTGCAAAAATCTGTTCATCAAAAATTGTCATGAATAAAAAATGAAAAAATTGAAAATTAAATTCTTTTTTGGATAACTAACTATATATCAGAGCTGGGTAATTACTTGTAATTTAAAAATAGTTACAATTACAAATTACTTTTTTAAAAAAAGGAACTAATTACAATTACAAAGTATATTCTTTAAAAAAGGAATTATATTAATTTAATTACAGTTACATGGAAAATGGATTTAGCAATTACTTTTCTAATTACTTTTATGATAAAGTAAATTATAGTGACCAAACAGAGAAAAAGGAAAAAGTTAAGTTAAAAATTTAAATTAAAAGTGTTGTGTAATATTGCGTTTTATTATTTATTAGAATTGATACTAAAATGAAAAGATTATTCTTATTCATTTTCTAATATAGAATTTTTATATTTTTATTCCTAATCTAATAATTTAAACTAGTTCAGTTCATACTATAATTTTATATTATTGGTCAGGTAATTAATTCAACCCGATGCTCTTTTTTTTTGTTGTTAGTACATTTTTAGAAAATGCTAC